GACATTAAGTCTAGATGATGTGTTTTAGATGGCCCAAAAGGCACAAAGTGGTTGGCAGCAGGTAAGAGGCAACTACCAGATAGAGGGTGAGACACCTCTAACAATATTCCAGAGGAAACAGGTAAGACACTCTACTAACAGAACCCAGAGGAATTTCAGTAGGAAAAACACACACAGCAAGAATGAAGGATAGCGCTAAATAACCAGAACTATTCCAAACTAGATCTTATTTGAGAGTTATCAAGTAGGACAAATGGAAGGACAAGTGACCAGTTTCAGGCTTGAATTAGAAATGAGTAGGTGAGGACTGAGGTGACTCTGAGACTGTGGGTTGACTACTGGCCCATGACCGTGCCATTCAGTGAGGGTCTGCCAGCCAGGCAGATTGGACAGGAGGAAATGAGGACAAGATCAGCCTCCATATGCAAGGGAAATTGTAAGGATGGTAAGAGCATGGAAACATCTACTGATCTGGAAGATTAATGGTCCAACCATTCAACCAACATAACTCTAACAACTCTCCATTGGACACGAGTGAGCTAAGCAAGAGGAGTTTGACCATCATACTGAGTGTGGAACTGAGACAGTGGCGATCAGGGTCAGTAGATGGCAGGTAGAGAAATACTATTGCTGCCCAGAATTATGGACTGCCTGTGAGAGAAAATTAGAAAACAGAGAGAAAAAGAAACTACCTATATCCATAGTAGCATTGCGAATCTTGCCATAAAATGAAGAATATAGATAAAAACACAGTGATTCTACCTTTTTAAAAGATCATCATGCTGTGGATCATGGCCACAAGCAGGCGGATAAAGCTCTAGAGCAGCTGGATAAAGCACTGAGGACTTACATCTGAACCCACAAGCACAAGGGAGAGAGATTTATGTGAAAACAACATGGGCTTTTGAAACCTCAAAACTCATACCCAGTGACACATCCCCTCCAACAAAACCACATCTCCTAATCTTTCCTAAATAGTCCAACTGGGAACCAAATGTTTGAAAGTATATGCCTATGGGAGCCAGAACCTTCAAACCATCACACCATGTAAGGAAGCTAGTAGCTAGAATCATAGATGTTTCCAGAGAAGGTTGGTTGACCCTAAGAACAGGGAGCCAATTCAGTAGCTAAGGTCCTGAAGTACGGTCACCTGTTTTGTTCTCAGAAAAAGAAACTTCCCTTGGGTCCCTACATGGTCACCACATATTACAGGAAATGGTAGGGAGCCCCATGTGAGTTACCATACACCATGAAATCAGGGTCCCTTCTCGGGGTTATTAGCTTTGTTGATAAAAGGATTAAAAATGGACTCAGAAGAAAGCTTAATGTAAATTTCATTAAGAGATTTTTTGGAAAATAATCCAGGAGACAGCCAAGGTGTAAATCTTGCCAGCTATGTGGAGGAGTTAGGTGGAAAAGAGGAGGGGTGGAACCATGCCTTTTGACCTGGGCATGGAGGTCAGTGACTAGGCACATGGCAGACAAGCAGTCCCATGGCAAGAGTGGTGGGGAAAGATCTTTGTAATTAGAATAAGGAAGCCCAAAGTGTAACAGAGAAAACTGTCAAGTTTAGGACCGCATTCAAAAATAAATAAATAAATAGATAGACAGATAAATAAATAAATAATTAAATAAGAGATACAAGGCAGAAAAGGGATAAGCTAGATTTTTCTGGGTAAATCAGAAAAGCAGGTAGGCTTGACACAGTCATATGTTGTGATCATTAGTGACTGTTAAAATCTACTTTTAAAATCAAAAAGCCTAAAGATAATTGTTGTTAAAATAGTAACATATTAAATATTATCACCAGCTATTATTTTGGTGATTTAAACATTCCTAAGATAAAACTGACATAATTCTCTACAGATATTCAAGCCACAATGTTTTCCCTATAAACTAAATGCATTGAACATTCCTTTTCAACTTTGGTTGTTATAAACAGTGCCACAATAATCAAGGTTGACATACATGGAATGCACGTGTTTATTTCATTAAGAAAAATTCAATGAAGACTTTCACAAATCAAAGGACATTTTTATTTAACACTTTTGATAATCAGAGCAAACTCCACTCATGAGCCCAGAGCTGCTCTCCTTGTTGTATGCTGAGAGGAATCAGAAGTTAAAAAAAACCCTTGCTAATTTGGTAACTCAAAACTATCATCACTACTTTTAAACTTGTATTTCTTTATATTCCATTAAAACTTGATGTTTTCCATATGCAAATATCTAATCACTTTTATCTCCCCCTCGGTGACCTTCGCCTGGTGATGACTGAGATCAAAGAACATTTAATGATTTTTCCTAATTCCTTTATGTATTAACAGCCTGTTCTCCATTGTATCTATGGAGTTTGGGGGGCTTCTATATCTATTTCATTTATTAATGTTACATACAAAGGTTAACTTGCAAATGCATATATCTACATTTTCTTTACAACCTCCTCCATCCATGGTTTTATGTTCATAAGCCCCCACTGCCCCCAACACTTACCCAAACAAACAATGCTTTTAAAGACAATTAGAAATCCAGGATAGAAAAACCCAGATCATTTGAGTCCACAAAGAAACCGGGTGTTTTTATCTTGGAGGTGTCAAAAAACAAACAGGTCTGAGCTTCACACGTATTGACAAGAACAATTCTCTGACTTTATCACAGCCAATTATTGACAAGTGAATATCAACAAACGCATGTAGATACAAGCCTTCTCTGGGGGAGGGGGATGGATGTAGGAGAGTTATGTAACTTTTCTAGTCACTAGGAAGAGTTTTAGCCAAAGAGTTTCCAAACATAAATCTCAAGGAATGACTGTTTCAAGGAAAATCTCGTTCAGCCCATCCCTGAGGAGCATGCCAGACACCGTTAGCTCTGTATCAGCATCTACATTCCCTAGCCCATCTCTAACCAACATTGCAGCTTTCTACACCTTTGTCTTAACACCTACCCACAAGAGGAAGATGCTCACATAGGCAGGGCATGCACAGAGCATAAAGGGCTCACTCAGCCTTACAACCTGTTGAATAGTTTCAAACCTTGGATTTGCCACCAATTACCGAAGTGCATTCTGAGAAAGTCTAGTGGCACTCGATGCTCCCTTGCCTATACTTAATGTTTGCAGCACAAGTTGGGCAATCAGATTATGTTATAACAATAGCCAAGGAAGCACACACAGGATATAAATTTGCTACAAAGAGTAGTGTGTTTATACTCGGTATAATTTTCTAAGTGCATATAGATATCAATGTGTGCATACACAATTTCAGTTTTGTTTTGATATTGTTTTTAAGACACCAGATAAGTTGCTAAGTTTCTCCAGATTATCAGGGATGCTATGAAGAAATTTTCACTGTTCCACCATCTGTAGGTGGAACGATCTCCACGAAGATGCTATGGTAATATAACAATGTGAGATAAATCTCTTTCACTCCATTAAATGTGGTAAAAAAATATATTATTTCCTAAAGCTTTCACGTGAGCCTATTCTCATTATAATTAGCAACTACTAGTATGCACACACATAAAGCAAAGCTAATCCTTCCTCTAAACATTTTATTATGTTCCAGAAGCAATTAGTAACATCAAACTTGGGGCAGAGTAAAACACAGCAAATAACTTTTGAGAACAAATGAATAACTACAAAACAAGCCAGCAGATGGAGAAGAACACGGCAAGCTGACTTTCCATAAAGCATGGAAAACTATTTGAGAGAAGCAAAACCTTGCATGTAGTCAAAAATACAAGCACTAAATTGGGGAAAAGAAGCCTAGCATGAGGAATGGAAACATTTTAAATTGTTCATCTAAGCCTAGTCTTCTTCCAGTAGAAAGAATCCAGCCACAAAATTAAAAAAAAACCATACTCAATTTACATTAGTGTGAAAATATAGCTCCAGGGGAGAAATGACAATTTAATAATTACCAACCTACCTCTGAGAATGAAAAATAAAATGGAAAAAAATCCCTACTGTTTGGGCCATGTGCGGGCCAATTTCATTTCAAAAATTTGAGTGTTGTATAACTGAAGTATATTCCAGTGGATCAGAACATCAAGTTACATAATTATCAAAGTACTGCACCCAGTTCTGCTTGTTCAACAAAGACCACATCAGGCCTCTGGGGGCAGCAACAGAAGACTATCCACTTAAAGCAACACACATTTCTTTTTTATTGTGATAGAAAACACCTTTAAGGTCACAGATTTTCAATATTGTTTTCCAAAATTAAGCAATAGTAAGAAGTCATTTAGAAATCAAAATATTAAAGACACAAAATATTTTTGTTGGTTTTATCATTTAAAAATAAGAGAAAAACCATACTCAGCTAAATATTTGTGGTATTTTTAGAGTTTTCCAGAGGCTTATTATCAAATTTATGCACCTTTCTTCCCAGAGAATAAGAATACTTTTGGATATTCAACTGTACATTATAGAAATTTTAATAGCAATTGTCTTGTGGAAATAGTCACAAAACAGCATCTCTATTTGTTAATTTAAATTTAATGCTCCTGAAAATCAGAGGAATACCCAAAAAGACAATATCTGAAGTCTACTGATGTGGGAATAACCATGAGGGATTTCCATTCTGTGTTAAATGTACCATCTCTTCAACATGGCTTCAGCAGGAGTGAACAAGCACAAATGTGAGATGGTTAAAACAATCTGGGGGAAAAATAAAAGCAAGGAGATAAAAACATTCTCGATAACCACCTTCTATCACTAACAGAGAAGGTTTGCAAACCAGAAACAGTCTCCTACACAGTCTCTTTAAAAGACAAATACATAACAAAATTAAAAGCTGCAGACTTGTATTTCTTAATATGTCTAAAAACATGACATGACATCGATAAAATCTACATTAGTCTATGTAAGACAATGAGTAACCTGGAGACAATAGCATTCTGTATTTAAGCTAAGAAGCATAGAATGACTAAAGCAATCTAACCAAATTTTCATGTAAAAGTTGTTCACTGTGAACTAAAACTACACAAGATAGTGATAATTACCTTGGCTGAAAACTGTGGCACCACCCCTGGGCTTCTTTTCTTCTTCAGTTTGCCCCTGGAATACAGAAAATGTGATTTAGATCATTTTTCATGTCTTACTGCTTGTATTAACTTCTTTCACTGCTGCCATGGTAAAATGCCCAATGGCAGCAACTTATGAAGGAAGGGTTTCTTTTGGCTTGTCACGACAGCGGGGTCTTGAGGAAGCTGGTCAAGTTGCATCCACAGTCAGGAATCAGAGAACAGTGAATGTTTGCACCCAGCCAGCTTTCTCCTTCCTATGCAATCCTATATCTAAGTGTAGGGAATGGTGTTGGGTGTCTTCCCTCATTTAACCCAATTAAAATAACCCCTCTACACATGTCCCAAAGGCTTGTCTTCTTAATGTTGTCACTCTGCTTCAACACTGAAAACTGAAGCTTCTTGGGTAGCAAATCTGTGCACATCCATGTAACTGAGGGTTGGTAATAGAGTCAGCACCTTCCCGTGGGCACTGGGAGCTGTCTACCACCACCTCTTCCCATGGCATAGATTCATTCATACAGCCTCATTTATTCATTGAATACACAGAGAAACAGTGAGCTACAACAGCCTTGAATATAAAGGTAGAAGCAGGTGCCCCCACCACCTCCACACTTGTGTTGGAGGGCTGCAGAGAGGTGGCTGACGGGAGGGGGCTTGCCTCACCACCACAAGCTCAGAGCTCATTCCTCCTCTCAGCTATCTGGTTAACCCCACTCCATTGGTACTCAGTTAAAATAATATTAGATAACTGTAACCACAACGGTCATCCAAAATATACCAGTGGTGATAAAGACCACAGAAAAGAAGGAACAACACAGATTGAATATAGCACAAAAAACAAGCACAAGGGACCAGAGATATGCCCCTGCTTTTCTTCATAGTCATAGCATTCAACAGACATGCTGGTCACAGTTTCTTGGATAAAGCATAGCCTTCAGCAAATGCTGGTACTCCAGGTCTTAATTTATGTACTTAGTTACTGAAAGAGAGGCAAGAGCCATTTTAAAAGTAGGTATCTAGACATAACATCTTAGTTATATGGTTTTGTGGCCGTGTACAATGTATGCTGCCTATCAAAAGTGTGTGAAAAGTTAAAAATTGGAGATCAGAATTTCTGCCATTGAGAATCCTCTAAATAAAAGGTGGGGGTGGGCTCTTAATTCCTTTTTAGAAAGATGGTTATGCATTCCTCTTGATTAGTTCCCAAACAAGTTGTCATCAGAGAAGATGAAAATTTAGCAGGTGATTTACACAAAATCTTTCATAATTAGTGACTGATGATGGGAAATGAGTTTGATGATTTCGTAAGTTCAGCCAACAATCATGTCCTCAAGTTTTTCACACATAAGTTCGGGCTGTATACTTCATCAACCTGTAATAGAAACTGACTGTTCTAATTTGCTGACCTGAACATAACAATACAAGAAGGGCTACACCTAGGTAAACCCCCCCCCACCTGAGGTAAACAGGTCACTCTGGCTATGACAGCCATTAAACCAAAGCTCGAAGACTATACACAATCATGTCACGTGATTTTAGCTAAGTCTAACAAAGGGCTGTTCTTATTTTAATGAAAGTATATTAGTTCTTTAACTGCTTGTTTTATGAAAGTCTATTAGTTCTTTAAATGCTATTAATTTCATGATTATATTGTGGTTTTGGTATTTTTGAGACTGGGTTTAGGCTATGAAATACCACTTGTGCAGTGGCAAATCAAATGACCTTAAACACATACAGATATGTGATTAACCTTTATCAGTAAGTATTTCTATTTTTATAGCAAGTGTCTCTAGAGGGTCACATGTGGAAGGGTTGGGCAACAGCCCACAGTCCTATTGGAGACAGTGGAGTCTTCAGGAAGAACAGACCAGGTGGTACTAGAAGGAAGGCTGCCCTGCACGCTCTCCTTCCGCTCGACCCACTCCTCCCTCCCCGCTCTTGCTTTCCCAGTCCTCCAGGGAAGAAGCTGTGCTCTGCTTCACAGGACACTGCAAAGTGCTACCAGCCCACAATGGAAGTAGCCAGCCAACCGCAGGCTGGATAGCCTAAAACTCCAGCCAAGATAAACATTTCTCCTCTTCCGCATATTTACCCTGGGCATTTTGTCACAGAAAAGGAAAGCTAACACAAGGGGGTGAGCAAATGAAACAGTTCGATGATGACAAAGAGAGGACCAGGCTGCCAATTGTTTATGCGGTTATAACCAATCTCGTTCCTGAACATGCTTTAGCCAAGTGTCTTTCTATATGCATGATTTGTTAGGCATATAGAAATATGTGTTGTGTTTGAGTTCTTGAGCTTCAACATATATGTGAGTAATGTTTTACTGTTCTGTCTCTGTCTCTCTGTCTGTCTCTTATGTCTCTGTTTCTCTAAGTCTCTCTCTGTGTCTCTATCTATGAAAAAGGTCCCACCTGCCTCCCTCCATCTGGCTAATGCGTAGCATTTCTAGGCAGTAAACACTTTAATTAGTTTATAGTATATCCTTGCAAAACTTTCTTTATGAAAACATAAAGAAACATGGCTGTATGTGCTTATTTTCTTGCTCTTGTCTACAAAGGTACCTTATTGTAGTCTTGTTTTCTCCCAGTACTTTTCTTTGATGAGGGTCTTTCCTACAAGGTAGGTTTATATAATGTTGCTTTACTCAACTTCCAAAGCTGCACAGAGTTACAGTAAATGGCTATGTCAGGATTTATCTGGCTCCTTATTTTTAAATATTTCAGGTTTTAGCCATTCTGTTTTGGTCAGTGTTACAATGCTGCAGCAAAAGCATACAGAAACCTTTCTCTACACAGTTATAAATTTACGTGCAATAATTTCAGAATGGTACTGCCGATCGAAGGAGACATGAACTCTCATGTTGCTAGATGCTGCTGAGTTTAGCTCTCCTCAGATGCTTCATTCCATGTCCAAGATTGGTAAGTGCTTGGTTCCCGTATCCATCTTGATAGCATGTGTTATATAAGTTGGGGGTTACAGAATGCTGACAACAGGACATCTCACCACAGCATCAGCATTTGTTCTATTGTCAAGAGCTTAAAGGTCACATTATTGTGTTGCAAGGTATTTGATTATACTGTGTAAAGATGTGTCACTGTGACTGACTTATTAAAAGAGCTTAAAGGCCAATAGCTAGGTAGGAGGCATAGGTGGGACTTCCAAGCAGAGAGAGCTCTGATAAGAAGAAAGGAGGAGTCACTAGATGGACACAGAGGAAACATGACACACAGGAGGAAAAGTAAAAGCCACAAGCCATGTGACAGAATGGGTCTGTCACAGAATTAATAGAAATGGGTTAATTAAATTTAATTTTTAAGAGCTAGTTCGAAACAAGCCTAAGCTAAGGCTGAGCTTCCGTTATTAATAAGAAGTCTCCGTGTCATTATTTGGGAGCTGGCAGGACAGAGAAACACGCTTATTAGAATATTGATTTAAAGGTATTTTCCTTTACAGCAAAATACCTTCCTATCCATGATCCATTTTCCCCTGAAATGGCTCTCTATTTTTGATCTTAATACAGTAGGAAAATTAGTTGTTTACCTCTGTTGTAGTGTGTATATATAATGTGTATGTATGTGCACACATGCATGTTTCTGTTGTCATTTACATATAAATTTTATTTTTCCAAGGTTGTCATTTCTATTTTAATATTTATTATGATATATATTTTAATGTCTAAGAAATACAATGGCAAAGCCTTTGCTTCATGGTATTTAGATTTGAGAAAAATCTAGAAAATCTTCATTATTCTGAGATGACAAGAAACTTCACACCCCTGTGGCTCACTCTTTACATGGTGTCTAACTTGTGCTAGGTGAGATGGTGAAGTGAAGACATTTTACCCAGGAAGCTACTCACGTGTCCCTCTGTAAAAGCCTCCTTCCCCACTCAGCCTCGGAGACCTGTGCATTCCAACCTATTTCTGGATTCCTCTTCTGTTTAGTCTGTCTGTCTGTTTATTCCTGTGTTCCTTGCCAGCATCACACTGTTTTCATTACTGCAGCCTTGTGGTTTCATATGCTTTCTAGGCTACCTAATGCTTTGCACACAATAAGAGAGTTCTGTTTGTGTACAAATTTTAGAATCAAGACAGCCAAAAGCTCAAAATTCCCAATCTGTATGATTTCAGGCAGGTGACTTGTTTAACCTCTACAGATCTCAGTTTCCTGTGTGTCTTCTGGCAAATCATATCTTCTTTGCAGGACTTTCTGGGGATTACAGTCCTTCTGGGTAAAATCCTTAGCCTAACACATGACACATGGCAGACTTTCAACTAACTGGAGCAATCAGTCATTTTGACAGATCTCAACCTGCTAATAATGTATCCAGGGATTTTAAAATTAAATTAGTTGGCCTGTTTGTGTTTATTGACTAAAGAAACATGTCTCGAATGAACATAATCCCTCATGAAAGCAGCATTAGGGGAGAGTAAACAAGAATCTTACAAGCGAGTCAGTCTTCCATTTAAAAGAATCTATTGTGCAATTGCTATGAGCTCGTCACTGTGGTTAGCTAAAGGCAAATAAGCCACAGTGTCCAGGCCGTGTCAGGGGTTCACCCTATTGAATGGCTAGCGGTAAAATGGGAAGATGGGCTTCCCTGGCTCTCCCATGTCCTCAAGACATGTCCAGGGCCTTGGTGTCCATGCACATTTGCATGCTCCCTGCTGTCCTTCCTACCTGACCTGAGCTCTCCTGTGGGCTCTCTGTAGACTCCACTCTCACCCGAGCTCTCCTGTGGGCTCTCTGTAGACGCCACTCTAACTAGAGCGTCACTGTCACCACTCTGTAGTTCCCCTCACTCTACCAATTCCGTACCAGACAGACCATTCCCAACCACCACAGCAACCACCAAGTCTGTACCTCCCTTGGAATTTTCACACACAGATTGAAAGTCCGAGTGCAAAGATGATCAGCAATCTCCCAACACTCTGTGATCAACAACATGAGTTCATTAGTTTGCATTCTAAACTCCTTTGCTTCTTCAGCTCAAAATTCCTGACTCATAACACAGCTTCCTGCTCTGATA